TGGCAATAACAGTTTATTTGTCTTCAAAATTGGTCGCCCAAGAGGATATGCCCTATAAAAGTGCAAGGTACCGTTTAATTAGGCCAGATTATGGACAAGAAGCAGAATTACAAAAATTTCTGCAAATTTTTTGGACAACGTGGTAAACTGAAAAATGTGACATCCTAAAGAAGCATCACGTCAAATTACTCTTCTTCCTTGAATTTGCACATATGTTCGCGAGGCTTGCACAGCTTATCAGAGACAGAGCAATGGGTGGAGCCAAATCTGAGCCATGACGGGCAATAAATCCCCACGCCCGAATGCCTGCTTCAGGAAAAAAATGCAATACTCTGAGAACTCCTGCGCGCCCTCTCTACAAAGGATATAGGTTAGAAATGGAGTTCTGAATAATGAAAAGTCAAAGTTATCTTACTTCATAGCGCCCAGTCGGCTGATCCAGTTGCTCTAACACTTCTCGCACAGCGAACTCTACAAGAGCTGGACTTGGATAGATATTAGGATCTGCAGCTATCTGGTACAGCACTTTGCGCCAAGCTTCCCTAGAAAGTTGATTCTTATCTGATAACTTAAGAATAATGCCTTTGAAATAAGAAACTAGCCTTCCGCTCTTGCAAGAATGATCTACAAGTCTCAACAGATAGCACAGTTGTCGAATACTAAACTCGCCATAAACGGACTCTTTCTCATCCTTTAGAGAAGTCAAAACAAAGCTAAAATCTATGGAAAATGATGATACAGACATTTTGGAAAAACGAGCAATTACTGAAGGCACCGCTGCCCTAATCAAGCGGAATGCCTTACAGAATATTCTTCAACGACATCTTTAGCGAAATACTTATAAAAGCTTATCTCTCTGTCAACTCCGCTAAATCCTGAATAGGGGGTAGAAGCTTATGCAGAATCTTATCGAGGACGGTGTACTGTTCCGGTTTGGCATAAAGGGAACACAAATGCGCAGTGACACATCGATGGAAAAAAAGACGAAGATAGATATCTTTTCCTTTATGTCTAAACTGTGCCCAAGATAAGTCAGATAATCAAAAATTCATTGCCTATAGCCTTCGTCCTACCTCTTTAGCTCCCCAGGAAGAGAATGAGCATGAAGTACTGCGAGTGCTTCTCGACGGTTTGCAGGTATTTCCATAAGGTATTCCAGATACTCTTCGCCAGCTTCTTTCTTTTGTGAAACATAGCTCATATGGTATGTTAAGGCGAAAGACATCTACACATGAAAACTCTCATTTTTATTGAACGATAAACGTCAAGAGTATTGACATACCACTTTGAGGCTTATATCCTCTTCTGCTAATGGATCAATGTACTGCAGCAATTTGAAAGGAAATGCAACAGCTCGATTCCCAAAAAATTTCCTAGCTATAGACTTGTCTTCCAACGTATCTATTCCTTCATGACAATTCTCAAGCCATTTTGGGACAACTAATTTCGATAACATGAGTCTAATGACTGCTGGAAAAAATTAGGGTTGATAATGATGTAAAATTAGCAAAGTAACAATTTTGAAAAGTAAATTTAACTTTGAGCTTTCCACACACCTATGAAACAAACCGTTTCTATAATTAACAGAAAAGAATGCAAAAAAAAGATAAATCGTTATTCAGTTTAGGGACGAGCTCACAGTTGTCATCATTTTCCAGCAAGCGAAGAAGTCGCACTCGGCCTTTAAAGCTGAATGAACGTATGTGTGTCGATTTGATCAGATGATGGATCAAAACTTTGCGTATCTGAAAATGAGGTTCGAGCCTCAACTAGAATCGGAAAGATTATTGGTAGATTGTCACATGTTATGTTGGAACAGAAACTTTCACTTTTGAAATCCCATTTCACCCCCTTCTCTTGCCGCAATCTTATCATCAATACAACAAAACCAAACCCGTTCTTTGTGCCAAAATACTCATAATTGGGTAT